GTGTGGTTTCGCTTTCATTCCCCTCGGAAGGAAGGGGTGGGGGACGTGCCCTAAATTCCAGACGGGCCTGGGCCAAGGGGCCCCTGCGTCTACTCTAAGCGGAGGAAAGGGAGGGACGGAGACTGGAAGGAAGAAATAGAAGCTAAAAAGGGGCTTTCGCTAGACGCCCCCAAAACCCGTCTGACTTGCCCCCGCCCCTCCCCCGCTCCGGTATCGTAGCGCAAGCGCGGTTCCAGTTCCTCGCTTCCCCCTCCCCGCCCAGCCTTCCGGAGTCCAGTCGCAGAGCAGGGGCCTTTTCCCACGGGGTGCAGTCTACCCGAAAATGGAGACCACTCCCTTTGTCGTTAAGACAATAACTGCTAACCCCTTCTTCACTCCCGGCTTGCGCAATCCTGCTTTCAAACGTACCTTCTCAGCCGCCTCTCCGGAGCCCACGAAGCTCTGTTAACACCGGAAACGCTTCTGACTCTCCCAGGGTCCGCTTCAGACTCTTTACCCTGAGTCCGCCCCTCCAACGAAGTCCCGCCCCAAGCTCCTTTAGGACCAGTCCTCATTGGCCGGCGCCTGCACTTCTGCCACTTTTTCGGCCATACATGCAAGAACTTCGGCCGCCTACTTCAGAGCCATTTGCTAATGCCCTTGTCAATCAAGTCCCTGGCCACCAACCGACGTCGTAGAAAAGGTCTCCGCCTTCTTCCCCTATAGCGAGGAAGGATCGCTGTGCAAAGCCACCTCTAGTGGAGAAAGTGGAGAAAGGCAGGCCCCACCCAAGACACCGACCTAGCAAATAATAGAGCCCCCGCGACGCGTACTGGGATAGCGCGATAGCTCCGGGGTTCTAGGGTTTTAGGCTTGTTATGGAATGTTAAAGAGAGAAAGAGATTTAGAAAACAAAAGCACTCTCGCCTTGGCCGGTGTCGCTCAGTTGGTTGAGCGTCATCCCATGCATCGAGGTCGGAGTTCATGGTCAGGTCACATGCCCGGGTTGCGGACTCCATCCCCGGTAGGGGGTGTGCAGGAGGCAGCCGATCAATGTTGCCCTCTCACATCTGTGTTTCTGCCTCCCTCTCCCTCTCTCTCTAAAATCAATACAAACATATTTGTAATTTGTTATCCTTTGTTTCTTATTAGTGAGCAAAAGTAAAGCCCTTGTGATTTTATAGGCTATTATAATTTTCTTTTTACTTTGCTTTTTATAATAATTCTAGTTAACATGTATCGTGTACTGCTTCTTATATGCTAGACAATGTTTAAGATGCTTTATATATTAATTAATTTAATTTTTGCAATTACCTTGGGAGGCAGGAACAATTACTACATTTAAGATGAGGAAACCTCTAGGCTGGTGTGGCTCAGTGGTTGAATCAGGAGGTCATGCTTGGATTCCCAATCAGGGCACATGCCTGGATTTCAGGCTCGATCGCCAGTGTGGGGTGTGCAGGAGGCAGCTGATCAATGATTCTCTCTCATCATTGATGTTTCTATCTCTCTCTCCCCCGCTCCCTTTCTTTCTGAAATAAATAATAAAAATATATTTAAAAAACAGTTTTGTAAAAAAAAAAAAAAGATGAGGAAACTCAGTTTGACCTTGAATTTGAGCTCTGGGTACCTCATTTTGAAGCCCATACTCTTGTTAAGCTATACTGTCTCTTGAAACAGAGGGTTTTTATGACTTTCACTCTATAAAAATGAAACCTTCTCTCTCGCTTTGCCCACCGGTACTAACGAAAGGGGAATAAATTTCTATGTTTCTCTCGATGCACACTACATCACACCTTATCCACCTGCACTGAAAAGTAAGTTACATAATTACCGTACTTCTATTACATTATGCTGTATTTGTCTATGTTTTCTTCTTTATTCTGTTATTTTCCTTAGGAAATATTTTTAGTTTGTCACATTTTTGTTGTTATCCATAAACCAAATCTTATAAATAAAAATAATAATAACTGATATGCATACAATGTATTTTTATTTATAAATAAAGGTTCTACATTTTGTGATTTTTTTACATGCTTTATCTTTACTGTTCCCTGCGTTGCGCCCATCTTACCATTTTGTAGGGATAGCAAACTATTTTTCTTTCTATTTACTTTAATTTTAAAAAGTAATAGCAGTACAGTAGTTTGATCAAGCTAATTAATCACTGATATTTTACTTTTCTTCTTTCACCTTTTTCACGTATACCATCATCTCATGTATTTTTCTGTCCTTCTAGATTGTGCAGAATGTCAGGACCACCAGCTAAGAAACGATGTCGTTCAGCTGAAGAGGATGTTAGAGAATTTCAAAAATACTGGACAGAAAAGTTTGGTGTGATTAAGAAAGACAACAAAGCCTTATGTGTTTTCTGTTCTGAAACTATTGTTTGCAGAACATCTTCTGTTAAAAGGCATTTTGAAAGTGTTCATAAGAACATAAGCAATAAAACCGAAGAGGAACAAAGAGAATTAATTTCTCGTGAACTCAGCAAAACAAAAAAACAGGTTGATGATAATTTTATGAACTTCATCTCAGGCAGGTCCAGTTTCAACTTAGTTGCTGCTAGTTTTGAAGTTTCAAAAGTCATTGCCCAAC